ATATTTTTAGTGTCTTTTCTTTAAAGACCCTAAGCAGAGTAGATACCTCTCTAATTTCACAAATAACATTGCATGTATGACTATTTTAAAAGTGAAAAATTCATGCAGAACAGTTATGGTTACCTGAAAAGACAAAGAAATTGGGTAAATAGAAATTGAAATGTAAGCAGTAAAGATCCATACACTTGTAATTTAAAAAAAAAATAAAGTTACTATTATTGCAGTAAAGGAAATAGTCCTGCTAAGAATATCTAAATTTAAACTGATAACTTTCTTCACAAATGTGTTTCATTTCTCCTCCTTATCCCAGTGAATGGTGGCCCCCATCCTTTCCATCCTCCACACTTGACAAACATATATAGTCACTCATTTAGGCTTCAGGCATTCAAGCACAGGCTTACTGTTCCAGCACTGTGACTAACTGAGCAGATGACCTGATTCCTGGATAATTTCCCCATGGGAAAGACACAAATAAAACAGTTCATATTCTATAAGTCACTATAATTAAATTATAGATAAGATCTCTCTAAAATTTCCTATTATTGGCATACAAACCATGTAGACTGCTAAGCTTTTGTTAAATGTTCCAAGAAATATAACCAAAAAACTTTGTACTGAGCTTATTATGTATATGAGTACCTGGATATATATATATATATATATATATATATATATATTGTGTGTATATATATTTGTGTGTATATATATGTATTATATACATTCTTTATGGATATATCACAAATTAAATTCTGTTAAGTACACAAGCTCTACAACAGACATAGCTGTATTAATTTAAATATTAGGTTTACCATTTCCTAGAAATGTTATCATGAGTATATCACTTCTAAACTGCCAGCTTCAGTAAAACAGTTATATGAATTTGCACTTAATACAAATAAAATACTTTACATAATACCCAGGAATAGTAAGAATTCAAGAGTTAGCCATTTTCATTAAGCCATGGAGCTTTATCTATAAGATAATTATATGTATACATTAATGTCTATACTATGACTTAAAAGGACTAGAGAATATATTTTAAGTGATTTTTGAAAAAATATTATTTTATTAAGAAAACTTGCCTTTAAAATTATAGTTTATGTTTTCAAACCATTCTATTCATCCAAATCACCTGCATCAATAAAGCATAGTTACTTTAGGATAAACCCACGAGATCCATAACGATAGAGGTCAGTTCAAATGGGTAGAGTCTACGGAAGAATAAAGGTAAGGAAGAGCAGAAACCAAACAGGTGCTTTGCCTTCTGAGCTACCAAAGAAATACTCCAACTACTGATAGCTGCTCAGACATTCTGCCAATTGGCCTTTCCTTCTCACTTCATGAATATTTCATAAACCATCAGCTTTTCAATTCCCAAAGATCAGAAATGGCCATTAGAGGCCTCTGACAGGCCATTAACAGTCCACAGGTCACACATAGTGACAGTGAATGAACTACAAGTGAGCTTCCTAAAGGACTATTGAACTATAAATGACTTTGAACTCTAAAAGTCAATTCCAAATGAGGAGATTAAACACGTGTTAAGCAAATGCAGCATCACTCAGATAAGTAAACAGTAGTACACACTGGAACACATGTTTAAATAAGTGAGTTTCAGATGTCTGATTAGAATCTCTACTGAAACTCCAAACCTTAGCACATTTTTAGACTATTTCTTGCCAGTGATATGTTGCAAAATTTCACTCTGAACACAATCCTCCCTTCTTGGTTTTCTTCTTCCTTTTTACCTATCTCCTGCTTGTCTATCCCTTGCTTTTAATGTACTCAAAACCTTCAAAGTTGAACTTGATTCTGAAGTCATTTAATGAAATTGATTCTCCAAAGCTAGCTGCACTCTGGCAGAAAATGAGACCAGGAAGTAGGATGAGACCATTCATTAATCACTGTCATTAGGATACAGACATTCTTCCAATAAACCGTTCTAACAATCTAAATTATTATACATGCAAAGTCACAAATTTCAGAAAAATGAAACACTTAATATATACTTTGACTAATTTTATTTTAAAGCCCTTCTCAAAATTTGAATGGTATAGCTTTATGCACTTCAGATACACATTTCATCTTCTTGACTTTGGATAAGGAAAAGTGTACACAATAGGTCCCCAACAATGCAAAGACAAGTCACTAGATCATAATGCTCTTAACCAATGGGATAGGGTCAAAGAAATATTTATTGGTGATGTCAACTGCTGTGTTCAGGAAAGATGTTTAAGAGGCCAAATAGAAAATTACAGATTTTTTTCTCCATCTCTGGAAATCTACAGAATAATTTTATGCTGGTTAAGCGATACTGTCAAGCATCTAAAATATTTCATTAATGCACCAGTTTAGTAAGTTTCATCAGTTTTCAAAAAATGAAGAGAATTATATCTACTCATTATAAACACAGTTATATACAAATATCTGTATTTAAATTTTCAAATCTAAAGTCATAGTATTAGAGTGTTCCTGAAGTTGGTACAGTTAAAGTCTACGTAGGATAATCAGGTTAACTTTAACATAAGTAGAGTTTCACCAGTTGATATAACATTATTTTAAAAGCTAAATTTAGTCACTAGTGACATAAAAATATGACAGATAATATCCAGAGTACTTGAGGAAAAAAGGAATTGAAGTTTTTTAATTATAAAAATATAATTGCAAGATTAATATTTTTAAAACAATGTAAAAAAATAACATCAGGGCTGAGGGCATGGTTAAATGTTGGTATGCTTGCTTAGTATACACAACATTGTGTGTTCATTTTGCCACATCACAAAAAAAGAACAAGAATAAAAATTGAAATCACATCTAATGGAATTCAAGGGAAAAGACATTATATGTGAAAAAAGGAGTTTACTTTATGGCTAAATGTATGAATTGGTGTGGAAATAGAGAAACTATGAATCTTTATATTTTGCATGTCACAGCATCAAAATATATCAAATATATCAAATGGTTAAAATGCAAAAAATCAATCTCATAATATTTGTAAGAGAACAGTTTTATATATTAGTATTTGAAAAGTCATGAAGACTAGAGAAGAATTAAAATGGTGAAGTAATAATATTTTAAGTAAAACTGATTTAATAACTGAAACTTAACACCTTTCAAATTGCTATTAAACATTTAAAAGTTTTTAGCATAATTCACAATGCAAATGTTCATTGCGTTCTAATCTGTATAAGAATATTTATGAACAATAACAATTCAACAAAAAAATTAACAACAGAGTTACATAAATTAAAAAAATCCCACTTGAAAAATTTAATATTATTTCCAAATATTTTTAGCTCAAAACAAAAAATAACAATGTAGTTAAAGAATATTTAGCAAATAATTATTCCATATATCAATATTATGAATTAAGATCAGAGCTGTAGACAAAATCTCATTGCTATAAAACTTTAAATAAACAACAGTGAAAATTAATAATCAGGAAACTCAAGAAGCTAGCAAGAGTAACAAAATTAACCTGCAGAAAAATGGAATTGAAATACAATCATAAGTCAATTAGAAAGTAGAAACATAAAATAAATCCAAGACTTGATCTTTTAAAGAAGCCATAGATGGAATTCTTCCATCAAATCTTCAACACAACAGAGAAAAACAAAAAATAAGCATAAAACAAGGGTAAGTGAAGTTTATATATGGAGAATGAGAAAAAGAATAAAACTACATACTTGGTTATTATTTTCTAACTAAAAATCAATGCAAAGTGCATTTTTATAATTTTGAAAATCTTGATAGAATGGATTTATTTAGAAGAAATATGTTACTTAAACTTACTTAACGGTGAGCCTACCTGCCTACTTACATACCATTGTTAGAGACCACTGCCCAGAGCCCTCTGAACAGCGAATCCCCACCAGGATGCATGCTTAGTCTCCTTTCTTCATCTTCTCTCTGAGAATGCAATATCCACATTCTTATCCTGCTCTTGCACAGCCTGACCCTTTCGGTGGTACAGTATCATCCTAGCCTCTGTCTACCTAATGAACCACCTGTTGGATTATTTCCAAAGATTGTTTGCTTCCCTGCCTTGTTCCACACAAATAAATGTAAACTCCATCTTGTAGATTGTTTTTAACCTGTGAACTCTAAGACTCTAAGTAGGGTCTGTGGCGCAGTTGGTATTGAATATATTTGTTGGGAGTAAGTGAATCAATGAAGAAGATACTGGTATGTCATTTGTAGAAAACTGGTGATTTTTAAACACTGTGGTTTGGGTAGTAGACTACCATTTGTTACAGCTACAATAAGCTATGTGTAGTGATTACAGTCAAGGAAAGAGATAAGGAAAGATTAAAAGAGAGAAGGAAAGTGAAGAAGAGGAGGAAAAAGGGAAAGAGAGCTGCCTATTTGATCTCCTGTTTCCATGAAGGTCTTGCAGTCTGTATACAGTTAGAATCAATGTGAGAAGATACTTAGTCTTTTATTTTAACTGCAGAATCTCTGACGACCCAAATGTATGTTGTACTAGTTCTTGTTAAAAGCTTTCTACATTTTCCTAGCTATGTCCCTTTGTGTAGCAAGAATTCTCAGATTTAGAGGTAGAGCAGTTTGATTTGTTTTGTTTTCTTCCTTATGACAGGGGAACAGATAGTTCTCTTAAGGGGCTACAATGAAAACTGTTTTACTTTGTTCAATGAACTCCACTAAAATGTGGTTCCAACCTACTCAGAGACATCCACAAGTTCCTCTTAATAATATGCAAAAGCTTTTCCTTTTTCTGTTATAGAGCTTTAATTCTGAAAAGAACTTAAAAAAAACCTAATTTTACCTACATCCAGCTCTTCAGAACTGGTTAATGTTTACAACTATAATAGTCATTGTTTTAAAAAGTTTGAAGAAGTCATAAATACCTTCGTATATTTGCCTGTGCTTTTAAATTATTTAGAAATTGGCACTGATTTTCCAAATTAGCATTTCCCCTGGTAACCCATTTTCCCCCAAGAAGTTAAAAATCTTAAACTGAAAGAGATCAAGTCAAATACCTGAAGTGGAGCTTCAGGCTGCTTCTCACTTGGCACTGGAGGAGCTGGAATTTCCGGAACAGATTTTGATGTCTTCTTTTTGGCTTTTTGCATTTGAATATTGGTGAAATAGTTCACAGCAGCAAACTCAATAAGGGCCGAAAATACAAAAGCAAAGCAAACAGCTATGAACCAATCCATGGCGGTAGCATAGGACACTTTGGGCAGAGAATGCCTTGCACTGATGCTTAGTGTGGTCATAGTGAGGACTGTGGTTATTCCTTTAAGGCAAAAGAGCAGAGACAGAAATGGGTTACTGTTATTGCAATGCAAAGCAAGCAAACAAACAAATAAACGTTAGGTTGGATGAGGTTAACAAAATTAACAATAATTCAAACAAAACCATCTTTGGTGGAGGATGTGAGTCCTAGTGGATCAATGAAATTAGCACGGGCTTTGGAGTAAACTACATATATTTCACTTTGTGGCTCTTTTAATCACTAACTCAATGTCATTTGGATTGTTTGGAAAACTCTTTAGAGCTTCATCGATATCTATTGTATTTACTGTAAAAATTTAAAGTAGCATATTAGTAAATCAATACTGGAACCTGGGCCAGTAAACCTAAGGAGTCGATACACACCTAGCGGGAAGAATGATTCACTGAAGCAATGATTCTCATCCAGGAGTGGAAAGTTGTGAACAGTGGCCTCCTAAATTGAAGAATCAGAATTTCCTGGGTAAGCATGGCCCACTGCTATTGAGAATTACTGCCAGAAAAAGTACAAGTTATATATACATCTTTTTCTATTCTTCCTCTTTGGTACTGGAATGGAACTCAGGGCCTTTCCACTGAGTTACATCACCAGACCTCTTTGAAAAAAAAAAAAAAAAAAAAGAATTATTTTGATTATTTTGAGTTACAGACTTGCCTAAGTCACTAAGTTTTTAGGCTGAACTGACTCAGTTTGCCAGAGTGCTAGGATTATAAGCATGTACCACCATACCCAGCTAAATCTTCATTTGAATATTATCTATTGAGTTAAAATAACAAAGTTACTAGTTCAGGGGCAAGGCCTCTAAGGAACTGCTTTCAGGAAAATCTCCTCCTTTGCCTTTGCCATGTCAGTCACCATTCTCAAAATTCCACTTAACAGTGGAACTATAAAGTAATGTATTATGTGACGATGCTAATATTTATATAGTGGTTTCTGTTTCCATTGATGTCTGTTTCTCTGACACATATTTTCTACTTGGGCCTAGAAATTCCGATGAGAATTTGCTATATACTTATGAAGGCATTCTGTGTTATGCCTAGGGAAGGTCCTGAAGTAGACACACAAGGAGGAAGAGGAGGACGATTTAGTGGTGGTGAGAATGATGAAGAGAATGACAACAAGGAAACATCTAAACATTCCAATCCATGTCAGTCACCAGCTGAAGAGTAAATAGTGCACATTCAGCAGAAGACATAGTTATGCAACAATAAGGAAAAAATCATGTTTTAATTTAGGGTGAACGATATTGTCTCAACTTAGAATTTAGTTATATTCTGCCTTATATTTTTCTCTTACTGTTCCAGAGATATAAACCTCATATTCAACTTGGTTTTTTTGTTTTTTGTTTTTTGTTTTTTGAGACAGAGTCTCACTATGTGGTTCAGGCTGGCCTTGAACTCACCAACTTAATCAAGTAGAACACTGCTGAGGGCAGATATATTAGATACAGGTTCAGGGATCACCATAGTATTTTATATAGGGAAAGGCAAATGATAAATGCCCAGTAAATAAAAATTCATTTTTCCAGTTCTTCTCTAATCTATTTTCTCTAAAACCTCTTCCTTTCACATTTTTTCCTGAAGCTTCGGTAGAGCATGTAAACTCTGCCATCTATTTAGCACACGACCTACAGACTTTTTAAAAACATTCTATATACTGTATAAAGAAATATGAGCATTTTCTGTATTTTCTTTTATAATTTTTGTGCGTTGCTTAATCCTTCATTAACCTAAAATATTTTGTATGCTCAAATGCATACACATCTAGGAAAATGCAACCTTGTGTATTTATTGGACTTCGTTTCAGAAAGAGCTCAAAAAATTAGGACAAGGTACTATCCTCATGCTAGCTATGAGACATGTGAATAACGACCAAACTAACTTTGAAAATCTATAGCTACAAAGTTTAAAATAAAACTTTATTCTTATAACAATTTAGGAATAATGCGCTGTTAAGAATTCAGATATGGTCTACAGCTTTTAAAGATATATAATGCTATGTATTTAGTTTTGGTAATAGAATAAGTTCTCCTTTGACTACAAGATAGTCTTCGCTTCTCAGTCTGTATCTGAAAAAAATTCTCTTATTATTCTGGACTAATCAGAAAACTAATGCAATTACTGAGAAATAAAAGGAAAATTATATTCCAACTCTGTGAGGGGACAAAATCACAGGTTCCTGACTTGAATGATGCTCTGGACACTGATATTAAAAAAAAAAAAAAATGCGGCTATGTGGCTACATTTCCTTTTTTCTTTCATTTTCTTGGATCAGTTTAATTTTAATTTTGTGGAATCATCTCTGGATGTTATAATTCCTATTTTATAACTGTAAATTTTAGAAAGTTAGCTGTTATAAAAAAAACAGGTTAAAGGCTTAAAAGTTGCCATCTTTTAGGACATTAAAATGTTCTCTCCACCCACTGTTCAAATTTTTAGAAAGAATTCACAAGGTAAGAGTGCACTTATTATAACTGGTGTCAGGTAGATCTTTTGGTTGAATAAACACAAATGTGAAGTAGCAAATAGAAACCAAACCTTCAAACAAGAATTCATGCTTTTTCTGCATCTAGAAAGGTGGCTCATTTGCTTTAAATAGCTTAGCTGACTCTTCGTTGAAAACATTTCAAAGCCATAATTTTTTTGACACGTTCAAGTATTGATGCCAGGACTTGCACTTAGAATGCTGAAGATGAACTATACTGGTTGGCCAAGGAGCTGGGAGAAGATACGAAAGAGGAGGCTAAGACTGTACACAGAGTGAATTTTTGGCTAGCCATTCCTAGAAAAGCCAGCAGTAATGATTTAGATATGCCAGCTGGCATTTACTTACATCTGATGTTTTACCATACAGGGATAATTAGAAAACTTAATATCATACAAGTTTGGAGAGAAAAGGCTTTTGCAAAGAGTTTAGCACACTCTGTTTCTCAGATTCACACTGATGTTTTTGGGTTTTGTTTTTGCATAGTACATAGGGACATTTCTGACCTAGCTGATTTCCTTCTTATGAAGGAAGAGGGAAATAAGAATTCAGAAAGAGAAAAACTAGCCTAGAATTAATATTCAACTAAACTTCATATGAAACAGATTGGCAATGCCCTCAAACACCTCATATTTTACTTATCTAGGAAAACACCATTTGAGATCCTCAGTGAGGCATTTAATAGACACCATTCAAAAACATCTTAGGTCATTGAAGCCTTAATTATTGATATAATACTCTGAATCAACAAAATCAATATTGTGGCACAATGGCACAATTGGATGAATTTCAACTTTCAGATTGAAAACCACTCACAAAGTAGCTATAAACACATTCATATGCTCTCACCAAGCAGCAACTCTGGAATTCTCCACAAGCCTTTAACTGGCTGTGAAAGCAGACAGAATGAGTTCTCAATTCTAGACAGATATTGTCAATTATGTGACTTGATATATGTTTCTTAGTTTTTTGGGGGGATGGGCTACCAGGGATCGAGCTCATGACCTCGCGCTTGCCAGGCAGACGCTTACATCATTGAGCTAAATCCCAGGCCCTTGTTTCTTAGTATCTTTAAGTTATTTCGTTTACCTATACAAAATTAACATTGACAACTTTGCTGAATTATTATGAAAGTAAATGAGATGACTCTAAAACTATATGTAAAATCTGTCATTATTGGGACCAGCAAAAATTACTGTTCTTAACACATGCTATTTAACTTCCTTATATTATCTTATTTGAATAGGAAATGTTAGGTGAGTACAGACATAACCAATACTATCCCTTACTACACCACTGGAAATTTCTATTATTTGGGAACAAGTAAGACTGAACAGTAGCTACCAGTATGCAATCAGTTGAGAAAGCATTCAACATTTGTCAACTAATTATAATTCTATTAAAATATTCAGGTTATTCACATTGTAGCACCAACTAGTTATTCTCAGGTGAGATAGGGGACAGCATGGACTAACAGATTAATAAGCAGCCTTTAAATACTATGTATTATGTGCTAGGCATTATTCCAAGTGCTTTATTCCAATTAACTCATTTGATCCTCAACAACCTTGCAAGTGAAGTGTAGCCACCCATCCTCTTTTAACATAAGAAGAAACAGAAACAGCTCACTGCAAGTTCATAGCTATTACATGGTAGATTCTAGGATTACAGTCAAAGTCTGCACTTGTGACACCATTATCTCTTTATCATAGCCCATCTATGATGGGTCAATGTTTTCTGTTTTAGCTCTTTAGGAACAGAGAAAGAAGTGATAATAAGCATAATATGCATAAAAGTGATTTTTAAAATTATAAACCCTAACAGAAACATAAAGTTTAAATAATTTTAATGATGACAGCCCCTTAAATAATGTTTTTGGTATTATGAGTTAATGGAGTTCGACCTGGGGCTCAGACTCAGTAGATAGTTTTTGTCTAGCCAGGCTACCTTTGAATATGTAAGGACCCAAAATGAGTGCAAGTTTTAAAGAAGATAAAGAACATCAAGAACTTCACAATGTCTGATACTACACAATAGACATGATAGATAATAGATAGACATACATATAGATGATAGATATTTTCTTTAAAAAACCAATGAAGACAAGTTAGAACCAAACAAATTACTCTTGCACAAGAGAAGTCTGAGAGAGTAACATACAATCTGTGTACCAGATGTCCTATACTGAGTACTAAACATAACACTTTTTAAACTCTCCCAGAACTATAAGAGAAAGATATATTAACACAATTTAAAGACAGAGAAAATGTGTGGTAGATGTGAGTTTTAAACTCAGACCTATTAGTATCCAATGACTAGATTTTTTTTTCTTTTATTTTTGCACCCATCTTTAGTAGCTAAAATTTATTCCACTTGCCATGTGAAGTTATTCTTTAACTGAACCTCATATCTCTATAAAGTAGGTAGGACCACTACACCTGCCCATTACCCTCTCTGCCTCTTAACACTGGCCGCCTGTATGAATTTCTCCTGTATGATTCCAATACCTTCTTATGGAAGCCTGAGGTAAAGGGAGGTAGCTGGGTTTGGAGGAAATAGCTCTGCAGAAGGAATCCGGGTTTCTTGAGGAAACTAGGTGTCCTTTTGGCAGTTCTCTAAAAGAGTAGGAGGTAGGATGAAAGCTCTCCCCACCCTCCAGTGTCTTATCACTAGTCTTTCTGCAGTTATTATCTGATAAGGGATATTATACCATAGCTTTGGAGCTACTAAATATACAAGCAATGGGACACTGGTATCTCATGTGAAGATTATGCCTCCATTTCAGAGAAAATCTGATCATTTTCCGTCTTACCCCACCACTGAATGTTTTCACTAGTCACAATAAACAGATGAAAACACAGAGAAAATATTAAATTAAATAGATATAAGTAATTTAGTGATATAAAAGCATGAATGATATGTAAAAGACTCATTAGCAGATATAAAAACTTTAAGCACATACATTCTGTTCTGGACTTCTTATGATTCAGAACACTATAAGAAACTAAAATAAAAACAATAAAATGTTGGTTAAGAAAAAAATTATGTAGATATAATAATGAGCTTGTAAATTAACACATATCTTCCAATTCAATGCATTTAAAGCATTTCCATTTTGTTCCTCTTCACTGAAGTCCAAGTTATTCTAAGGCTTTCACATTCATTCAGCCATGACTTTTATTTGTTTTATTTTAAGCTCATAGTGCATTTCATTTTAACATCTAGTTATAATTTTAATTAAATTACACTGCTTTATGTTAGAAGCCCAAGAATATTACTAAAAGTGAAACTGTATCCAGGTTCTCTGTTGGTCATCACCCTACTGGTTCTCAACCAGGGAACTCTGATGAGGTACCAGAGAAAGAGACGGACTGCACGTATCTTCTCAAGTATTAGTACTTTGCATTTACTAGGGAAAAATGAAAGTTCATATGATTCTTTATCCAGTACAGTTTAATACACTGATGATATTTCTAGAAATATCTAAGGGCTATTCCCCTAAATTGTGATTAAAACATGATGCAGATAATAACATCCAATAAATGAACAGCATTTACCAAATACAGTCCTAGCTGGAACTGATTCCTTATTTATCCAGAATGAAACTTGAGAAAGAATCACCGTCATAATGCAGGGGATATATGTCTGAATCATAAAATAGCCCATCTTCCGTCTGAGATGAAAGTGAACTGTCATAACAATGTATTCACCTACCACAAAAACATGAAAAAGAATGCATTATTGGTTCTGCAGGCAATTATTCAACAGCTTCACAATCACATTTCAGAATAACAAACAATATTTTAGGCAAAGTAATTCTCTTTTGCCTAATACAAAGAATAAGAGCTATATTGATTCTTAACAGGGGTAAGGGGCAAAGAGATGATATTGGACATCATTATTCAGAAAACAGTTTTGTTCCTTGTTGCCATTAATCAGTTTAATAAATTGGAGTGTAACTTTTAAAAAGTGGTTGCATTGAATTCTGCTTTGAGGTTCTAATACTGTTAAAGTAATCAGCTTTCATTTTTAGCAATTCTTAAGAGCAAAATTTAGACGTAACTTTTACAGGAAACCAGTAGAAAAAAAACTAAGATTTAATTTTGAAAAGAAATGAAACACATTGCATTTATATATGAAATATGTAAAACCATTTATAAACATATGCTCTGTACACATTTTATAGGCATACATGGTCAAGGAAAAAGCTACTTAATTTTCAGGAAGGCAATACATACATATAAATCATACATATATGAACAAAAATACAAACAAATATGAAAAACACAGGTGCCTAACTTAAAGAGCTAACAAATTAAACCCTACATTTTTTGGTAACCGTTGATAAATATTTTTACTCTTATACCTGAAAAAAAGCACACTAAGGCATTATTTAGGAAGCAGTGATTTCATTTAGACTGAAACAATTCAAAAACCTCAAATGCTCCAGATGTGTTAAGCCCTACTTGCAAAAGGAAAATGAGTATCTTTTTTAAAAAAAAATTTTTTTCCTGGACCAATAAGAGACAAAATGCCCTGTTAGAGCCTACTACACAGTTTCATAACTGATGTGAAGACAGTGTCCTTAAAATGATGGTCATCATGACTGGTGTTTCGGAGAGCAAAACTGTGTGATTTAAAGGATAGGAGGATGTTGCTAATTTCAAGACAGTGTGTGGATTTATACAAAGCAGAAAAGAGAGTAAGTTAAATATTTTTAATAAGAGCTTGTGAGTCCATTATATTTTTCATAATTAATTTTTCTTCCTTCCATTTTAAATTTTAAACTAGTTTATGAGGTAAAATTGGCACAAAAATGTTGTAAATACTTAATGTCTACAACTTGGCTAGTTTGAAGGTAAGTATCCATCTGTGAAACCGTCACCACCATCTGTATCATAAAGTTATCCATCACTTCCAAAATATCTCTTCATTTTTTATTTATTATTTTTTGAGATAAAAATACCCAATACCTACCCTCCTAACAAATATTTACGTATTCAATATTGTATCATTAACAGTAGGTACTCTCTCTAGGGTGTTTTGAAAATGCACCACTTAATGGACCAGAAAAGAAACTCCTATCAGACACTGAGTATTTTTCAAAATGTTTTTCCTTGACAGATAACAGAATATATACCCTGCTAGAAGGCCACTGTACAATTTCAGACTGATGTGAAGAAGTGTCCTTAATTTTCAACTTCCCAGCCTCCAGAACTTCTGTTCTTTACTAACTACTCAGCTTTCAGCAGTTTGTTTCAGTAATATAACTGGACTAGAACACCTATCATCAAAACTTAGCATTTTCTTGGTGATACATGTACATCAGAACGCTTTTACAGTAAGACATAATCAGCTGATTCCCAGTCAGTAAGATTGAAATTAAATTTTATGGTTCCATTCACATTCTAAAGCTAAGAATAATGGATAATAAGCATTCATTTACTTGTGTGACAACTTTAGTACCTACCCTCACTGTATTTTGTAATTAACCTTTAGATTTTTACTTTTATTTTGGAAAAACATTGACACGTGACTTAAAATTGGGCAAGACAAAATTTTCATAAAACACCAAAGAGGTAGACTCAGAGTTTTGTCTTATACTTTTGTTGAAAATAGTTTTAGTACATTTGATTACTGATTTTTGTGTCTAAATAAGAAAACCAACTCTTTTCTCACATCTCACCAACTCAGAATTTATTTTAAACTGAAATTAGATTATAAATGTAAATAAAGAAATTCTGAGTTGTGGTTTATGCATCAATTCTATTTCTGAAAATTTTTTTGTGCTCCTGAAAATACTAAATATTTCAGCCTAAAAGCCAAGACCATACTTTATTGCTGATGCTGAGAAGCATATTGGATTCAATTATTAAATGACTCACCTGTAATGGACTTGATAGTCTCACTTGACACTGTTTGCCCAATCAGATCATACTGAACTAAGCTGGAAGACTCCTTTGGCACCTCCACTGATTTCTCAGGACCCTTTGTCCAGGTATAAATCATCTCACTCTTTGGATATGCATCTGAGTGACAGAAGAAAATGTGGTTAGAGTCAGAGTTTCTCTTTTGTCAGCAATGGCAATCGGCATGTAAGAATGTAACACATGTTCAAGAAAGATGGGAAAAATGAGAATAGTTTTCATTATGTTTTATTCAAACATGCTTACAATTTAGGAAACTAGATATTAAATAAATAGCTGTGCGATTCAGCAGGATTTATTGGTTTTGTGCCAAAGAATTGGAGAAGAGACTAAAATTGAGGCATCCACAGGGCTACATATGCATCAGTGCCCTTGGACATGTTTTCATGCTAATAAGATGAGCAGCTGAAAAACAGATGCATTAACCCCCAAAACAGTACTGTTGAACTCCTACTGTTTTCATTTCTCTCCTCCAGTGCTTGACCAATACTGACTTCTGCCATCCTAAAGCAGCTCCTCCTCCATTTAGACATGCACCAGATGCTCCCTCTAACAACACAAAATAAAATAAATTTCTACTGGTGGGGGAGCTCTCCGGGGGGTCACTGCTTGTACAATACCTTTGGGCAATACTCAGGCTATTTGGTAACCATTCTACAGTGACAACTGGCTATGCTGTTTGTAAAGCCCTCTAGGGACTATAATTACACAACAGTTTCACTACCTTTAAACTCATACATTTAGTACATTTTCCCTTCTATCTTCAACGAATCTTTCCCAGTGGCAATTTAAGCCCATTTTCTATTATTTGGTGTTCAGTGCAAAAGGAGACCAGCTGCTTGCTTACCAGTCTACCCAAAACAGATAGCTTGGCTCACACACAAATAAGTACCAAAGAACTAAAATGAATTGTGTGTCATTGCTCCCTCCCTGCTTCCTACAAACCTTCCTAAAATGGCTAGAACACAGGTGATCCTCAGCAGAATTGTTTAATTCTACAAAAGAAATCAATACCTGGAGTGATCCTCTTTACAAATGACCTTGCAAAACAAACTATGAGGCTTGTGTCCATCAGTTTTAGTATTACACAGTTATGTGTCAGCATTTATCTCCTGAGGTCCATTCATACTGTGTCAGCTATTGGAAGTCCTGTATACTCTGTTCTTGTCTGTCTGTGACATTTTAAATCAGGTATCCTGCTCTTGGCTACCCTACCTTGCTAGAATAGCCTTTTTCCCCCCTAGCTTTCCTCACTCCTCTGAATTATAAAAAAAAAAAATGTTTTTCTCTTTCCAGAAAAAAGTAGGGTTCTTACTTGCCAAGTATGACGTGCCTCACTTTTTAATTCCCAATCAGAAAACATCAGCTTTCAAAATGTAAACTCTTATTTTTATACAAAGCCTGATTGAGCACCAACTATGTTCAAGTCACTCAGAAGGGTGCTTATAGGAGAAGCAGAGGAATGAGAAGGAGCAGAAAGGACTTCCTCTGGGTAAGAGGAAGAGGCCTTTTAATTTTGGACCCAGTGAGATCATACTTTCTCTTTATGCATCTTTCCTGTTTTTGTCTTCTCTCATTAAATCACTGGTCAGGGAGCAAATGACTTTCTCTAGCTTCAAGTTGGCTCACTGAATATTGTGATTACTAGGGTTATAAAAAGAACGGTGACTGCCGATTCTCATTAAGTTAAGCAATGAGCAATGATAACAGCAGGCAACTGTTTCCCAATCAGTAAGAACAAGCATGAGTCTGAAGCAATAGTAAAAGCCAGCAGCTATTTCTGGTAGATTCTGATTGAATCGCATGTTGAGCAGACCTTAGAAGAGCAATCACGTTTCCTTGCCATCTCAGAGAAGAGAGCTTGAGGAAAGGGATCTCCCTCCTTCCATTCATGTTCTTCTTTTGACTTTATCTTTACAAAATGTCCTAAATACATCTATTTCCCACTTACTCCTTTACCATCATCTGAGTCTAAATCACTGCCAACTTTGCTTGTACTAAAACAGCAGACTCCAACCCATATAGTTTAGATGTCCCTATATTTCACAACTGACTTTAATCTATTGATGATGACTTGGTCTACTTGGGCTATCCATGCAGGTATATTTTGTTTCTGGATAGGGGAGTTTTAATTCCTCATGTTAAATTGTTAGTGAATAGTGTCTTAAAAATCGTACCTTGGATAATTTTTGTCATGAATTGTGACCATATTTTGGATTATGAAAAAAAAAATATATATATATATGTCATCCTGCATGAAATAATCAGAAATCTGAACAAAAATTTCTATTAGAACTTACAACTCCCAAATTTCAAAGGGCACGCATGACCATCCATGGGAAAATCCACCAATCTCATGGGACACTCCGCACTTATAGTGAGTCTATGATGGAAAAATGCAATTAAATAAAATCAATTCTTTATGAAAATGAATTATAAAGATTCCCAAAATGGAAGGGAAAGAAAGAAGGAAGAAAGGGAGGATAAAGGAGATAGAGAGGGACAAGAAAGGGAAAAGTATTAAGGCAGAAAAAAATTACCTCATTGTGTATAAAATAGTACCATTTCTCATAATTCTAAAAAGTTTATTTGGAGCTGTCATATTATGTGAAACAGATTTCTTTCCATTTCTGAAGAAAGTATCAGGGGTCCATACTTTTGTTACCATCATATTATTCAGTCTCAAAATTTCAATAGGGCCATCATATTTTAGTCTTTTGTCAATCCATGTCTGTCTGAAGAACACATCCATTGTATATTCCTAGGAAAATTAATTTGTGACCTATTCAAATCACAGATGACTGCACATACATATTTAGAAAATTTATTAAATTTCAGCCTCTTTCCCACTCAGGGCAAAAAAAAAAAAAAACCCACCACTATTTCAAATGAAATGAATAGAAGCAAAAATGATCTCAAATCAATAAAGCAACAAGATTCTCAATAATTAGTGTAGGTTGCATCCATCTTGATACCTTCATCTTCTACATTTATAAGAAATAAATTACCACAGAAATTAATCATTCAAAAATAATTACTGTAATTTAGTACAACCGCCAGCACCAGGTAATTACAGTAGTACTTTAATTTAGACCAGATAGCAAAAAATCAGTCAGTGCTAAATTACATAATTAATGATAAGATTGTAAGCGTGTCTTAAAATGAAGTAAGATATTTAAAATATAAATTTTGTTTTCATAAAATAATAAGTTTATGGATAGGGGAGTTTTAATTCCTCATGTTAAATTGTTAGTAGTCAAAATTAGTCAAATAACTCAAGTTAGTTGTTAGTAGTCAAAAGTAGTCAAATAACTCAAAAGTTTCAGATCATTAGAATCCTTTTGTCATTTTAAATAAATACGTTTAACATAAAATAACAATACTAGATGAGGGAATGTTTCCTGAACAGATCTTAGTAATCCAAGCTCTTTAAGCAGAAGACAAAGGAAGAAAAGAAAGGATGGTCAGAAGCAAACAGGTCAACAGGAAACACCACATGTGATTAGCACTGTAGCATTGAGTATATACTTAGTGCAAACAAAACTAACTGATTTCTTGTTTTCTACTCAATAGTTTTCTAAAAAAAAAAAACTACATCTAAAATTATGCTATAAAATGAGTAATAGAAAAGTTCTTTTTGATGAGAATGACTCCAAGTTAATATATATTCAAATGTTAAAGAACTGACATGCAAAAATTTTAGTACCTTTACTTCTCACAACTTCTAAGTTTAATTTGGCCACTCTTTGACTTTCCAATTTTGTGTGACTGACTAAAAAATAAATATTAATTATCTCCGCTCTGGCATAGTTTCTTCAAACTTCAAAAGGTAACTTAAGTTACCCAAGCACTTACCATTTCAACATCAGAAACAGGTCCAAAGCTGGTGACATATATGTCAGTTTTCACTTCTGTGACAGGACCTAGTAAAAAAGAAGGAAATAAGTATGAAAAAAGAATCACAATTTTACAGCTTAGGAGAGTTAGGTAATTAGAATAAATACAGATAAAAATACCATATTCTTAGTAGCATTTGAAGCTATCAGTGAAGCAATAATTTCTAAAATGTGTGTAGACCAAAATACAACCAAAAGGGAGAAAAGAAACCCCATTACTTACCAGGATTGAAAGATATGTCATCCCAGGCATTGTTACAACAGGCAATGTAGAGACACAAAAGCTTTTAGCCTTTGTGATTTTTATAGCCTATCATCTGATTGTCCTCTATAAAGAAGTGAGCTATTAAAAAAGAGGAAATGTGGCTGTAAGAGCAAAGAGGAGAAAAACCATAATGGTTGCATGAAATGCATCTTTGGAAAATTGAGAATACTAGTAAATAAATTTTTAAATGATTCATGTTATTTTTAACAATGGGCATAAAATGGAGCCAGAACAAAGTAGTCCTATAAGATACCCCCATTCATGCTCCACCACTGGTATGTTGTGTGCTCTTTGGCAAATTACTTAGGCCTCAATAGCATCAACTACACCTATCAGGGCAGAGTTTCATAGAGATTTACTTAAACACCGTGTCCATGATGAAAGTACTTACTCCATGTTAGTTCTCGTCTAGTCTCATAATAGCCAAACTCAAGATTGTCTCCCCAAGTCTAAGTAAAACTGGTTTATGAACAAGTATATGTTTTTCTAGGCAAAAGGGAAAGGTGGAATTATGATGACAATATGGCACAGATTCTAGACAAAGGAACGTTAGCATAATTTAGGTTTAGTATGTGTAAAATATGGAATTCTGGAGTTCAAATGTGGCTCTAATACCTTCTAGTTGTATGACTTTGGTTAGGACACATGTCTCCTTAGTTAAAGATTTTAATGAATACTAAAAGTACTAAATGAGATAACAGGTGTAAATCACTTTTCTTAGTCATTAGAATATGATGTGTTGAATAATAATAGTATTTGTTCCTGTAGATAATATAGCATTTTATTACCCAAAGAAAATATAAAAATTGTTGTCCTCCTTGAACATTGTTTCCTTAAATAATATTTTAAATCTGCATTGCCTGAGGCTACATACTCAACAACCTGAAATAAGAACATATGCTATCAAAATGCAATATACCCCTATTCCTTGGATATAGGTTGGAAAACTCAACTTACGCCCAAAAAGATAAAAAGTAATTGTTATCACTTAATGCTCCATGTCTAAAATTAGCCTCATAAAAAATGGTTTTCCTTCTAAAGCAAGAGGATTGAGCCACACAAAGATAGGAGAATGAGAAAATTCTTCATTGGATAAGTATCCTGAGAAAAACACAGCCTTTAAAAGTCCTAAAATGTATAGATCATGCCTATCTTTCATGGATTTTACACTTTAAAAAAAAAAAAACAAAATACACTTTAGAAATTAGAGTTTTCAATAAATTTTATTTGAAGAATTAGAAAAAACAAAGAGATACCAATAACCTCATTAAAGCCAAATTGCTCTAGAAATAGGTAATCCAAAAAGTAGACAATACATGTTGAACCCTAGAAGACAGCAGTTCCATTCAAACAGGTTGAAATGTGGAAGATGTCAACGTGCTATTTCCTTAAATACAAAAAAGCAGAAATACTATGTCATAGCAAGTCAGGACACAGATGACTCAGCAATTAAGGTTGATCACATCCTAAATGGACAGGATCCCTGAGAAACTAAAAGTTACTTTGAAAATCAATTTAGAACAGTTGTTCTAAAGCTTTATATCTGCATCAGTTGGAGGCTTATTGAACTACAGATTGCTGGACCATGGTCTCAGATTGGCTGACTTAGTAGGTTTAAGGTGTGGCCCAACAATTCTCATTTCTACCAAGTTCCTATGTGTGACTGTTCAGTTTCCTATGATGTATAGAGACAGAACTGGTTTATTTGACTCCTAAAATAGAGTTTGCAACATGAATAGCACCAAGAAAGTGAGATGAACCTAAGGGAATGAAAAATTAGGTATTTTACTGTAAGGTTTATTGAAAAGTATGTGATATATGCTAATCCTTGTGTTTAAATTCATTTCATGATAACAGGTGTCTTCAAATTCTTATATATCACTGTACTCTTTCAACAATTCTTGAAAAATGTTTTATGTTCAGAATTATAGCAGCAACATTAGTTTGTGACAGTATTTAGTATCTATTTTACATTACTTTATGGGTCTTTAAAATTGAGTGAGATCTTAAAAGTTTAAGATTGGTGAAGGGATTTCATTTGGATACTGATTCAGTTGGGAGAACTGGGTCCCAAGTGGGAAGAACTGTAAAAGACAAAAGTCAAGGTCAGGGAAAGGCTTGATTGTACTAAAGGAATAGGAAAGGTGCCAGAGAGGCTGAGACAAAATAAAGGAGGGGAGAATAAGAAGAAATGAAAGCCAACAGAGAAAATAAAGACCTGGATACTGCAGACAGAGCATCTACCCTAGAGCGCATATTCTGAAAAGTGGCATCTTTTAAGCAAAGTATTTATAGTTGCTTTGTGCCATGGTGTCTGCTGTTAAAATTACATGAAAAAGAGCTTGGAGGAATGCCAGTGGAAGATGGAGAGATGCATAAGGAGATTGTTATGGGATAAATTATATTTCCAAATTCACATGCTGAAACTCTCAGTACCATGGAATGTGACCGTATTAGAAGATAAGGTCTTCAGATAGAGACCACTACATTAAAATGAAGACACTGAAGTGGGTTCTAATCTAACACGATTGGCGTCCTTCTCCAAAGAGAAGATTAGGACACACACACACACACACACACACACACACACACACACACACAGGTAGGAAACACCATGTAAAGACCTGGAAAGGTAACTAATTCCAAGGCAAAGAAAGACTTTAGAAGAATCCTCTTCCTGATTCCTTGATACCTCAGTAATTGTGAAAAACCAAATTGCGCTGCTTTAACCAGCTTGTCTCTGATACTTTGTTATGGTGATCCTAGTAGTTGAACAGAGGTTATTTCTTCTTGTTTTTACCCTGGATTTCCTTTCTTTGATATTCAGATTAGCCCTGACTTTGCTTGTAGACTGCGGTAAAAATTTCGATTTATAATCCAAAATCACTGAGAGGCCACCATGAGCTTCAAGTAAGGAAATTATATGATTCAAATGAATTATTGTTTTCAAAATCATTCTGGCAGAAGTATAGGCAATAAATTACTGGATGGCTAAGGCAGAAGAAGGGTTTTTGCAAGAGGTGGCTCTCCTAGTCATGCTGACAGATGACAGGGGCTTGGATCAGAGGGATAGCAGTGAGGATGGATATGGGCACCTGTCTGCAACTGCTTGTAGGAGATGGGATTTTTCCAAACTACAATCAGCAGAAATATAATAAATACTATTTAGTGAAGATCTATAATGTACCAAGTATAATACTAAGGTCTTATACTATTTCATTTAAGCACCTCCAAAGGTGCTTTCGTCATGAAAACATTTTGAATCTAGAAACAGCTCATAAATGATAAATACTAAACGTCAAAGCCAGAATTCTAACTCCCTTGCATTATTCTCCAAAGTTGTATTCTAGCTTTACTATACTATTATATGTCATAAAATAAAAACTGAATAGTTAATACTCAATTAAATGTGAAATTATATATCTAGGATTTAATACACTGTATCTACATTTCCTGTTTATTTCATGTATTGCTTTCCTCTTAATCTTATTTTAACCCTTGTGAGTCTGCCTTTTGGCCTGCAACAGCAAAGATGAAATATGTATCATCTTTGAAATCCCAAACTAACATACTGCTTTGCACAAACTAGGTGCTAAATAATTACGTATTTCATTACATATCTAATATCATCTCAGTAGTGATTTTAAAACCCCTCAAAACAGAAAAATTAAGATTCGCATGCTGCATCAGTTAAGCTAAAAATACTTCTTAATGAGAGCAAAAACTGTCTTATTTATATTTGTATTCTCTCATAGAACCAATCCCGAGCCTTAACTGTAATAGGTTACTGATAAATCAGTTGTCAATGAATAATGGTCGCTATGCAATTAAAAATAATTCTTAGAGACGCTTCCTCTAATACTACTATTTAGGATGTTCAAATCAACCTTACTAAGAGCATAATTACATAGAAACCAGATCATTTTGAGCTTGGAAAGATTTCTTCCCATAATTTTACATGCATTTGTGTATCATAAAAGACATCTTTTATTACAAAATCCTTCTTCTTTGGCAATAGGGAAATTATGTTTTTATTCTTTTTTTCTTCTACCTTCTTGTTTGGGAGGGGGAGAATATTTTAAACACTCAACATGGCAGCTAATCTGGAAGGCAAATAAGGTGATCTTCAACAATTGTTTGAAAGAAAATAGCCAAGACCTACAAGGTCTTACTAAATGAGGTAAATAATTTAATTTTGATTCAACTTGCTGCAGAAATGGTAAGACAATTAACCATGTATCAGATAATTTTCCACAGACCTGGTTATAAGGTATCATCTAATTTCATCTCTAATAATGGGGTCAGGTTTACTGTTCCATCATGAAAAAGATTTAAGGTGTTTTGCTGATCTTCAACTTGGTCAATTCTTATTCTTCACAGTGTCCCTGTAACTGGCACCTGGGAGAATATTCCTGAATTTTGTGGCAACCACAGCATGCATCCATCTACATCTTAAAAAGCACTACTACTCTCCAAAACTAAAAAGATTTCATGTATTTATGAGATACAACAACATCAAGAAATCAAGTGGAATATATAAAGAAACATCACATTTTGCTTGCCATTTGCAAAATATAGAAATATGAGCTTCCCTGATTGTTAAATAAAGAAAACAGTTATTCATTGATATAGCTGAGAAAGCAGAAATCACTATAGAGTTCTAGAAGTTTCTTTGCCTTAAAATATATTAAAGATTGGGAACTTTTGTGTCAAAGGAACCCTCTATCAGTGATGGTCTATTTTGTAAATAATTAAAGCCATT